TACGAGTTTTTTTCAACATTTCTATTGTATGCGACTGCTGTTTATTTAGGCTATCAAAAGTGCTTTTTAAATTATCAAACAATAAAAGTTATATCCTGAAAATGTTGATGATTGGTGGGGAAGAGATTGTTTGAAAATATTTATGTATTGTTTAGATATTACTTTTGGTACAATAACATTGATTATAAAATAAGATTGGATAGAGTGTGGCGTGAAAGTAGAGACTAGCAGAGAAGAAAAATCAGGAGTTGTCAGAAGTAGCAAAGCTCAGGATAGCTCAGGACCATGTATTTGCTTTTTAGATTACTGTTGTCTTTACCTTAAATGATGTTCATTTATCCGTTTGCCCCTTTAAAATAATACATTTCCTTTATTTTTTTACTTTTTCTTTGTTTCTCGTTTTTGATAAGACGCAGATAACGCTTTTTCCATAATTTTTTTCTTTGTTTGGTTTCTGCCCTTTTTTTGGTTATTCCTAATGACTACTTTCATTTGTTAAATAACTTTAATGCAGTTTGTGACTGAATTTTTTGTTTTTTTAATAGTAAAAAAACCATAGAGTAAAGTTTTGTTCTTTTATTCACTTCATTTTCATTTGAATTATTTGTTTATTTATTTGTTGTTTTTGTTACGTTTTTGTTTCTGTACTAAAATGGAAATAGGCTTTTTGACTGACAGTAGTAAAATTTGTAAAAAATAAGTTACTGTGAAATAAAGTGGAATAAGAAGTAAAGAACTGGACAAAGGAATGAAAAGGGAAAGGGGAGAAAGGGGAACAGTGGAGTGAGAGGCTATGTTTCTTTTTTTTTTATTTTGCAAAAAAATACATGCAGTTGCCGTCATCGTTGTTGGTTACTATTGATCTTTTCTGTAGTAATGAATCACTGTCGGTTACGCTCAACAAGGCTGAACTTAACTGATTCTATCTAGTGAAAAGTGACTGGTTCTAAAAATATTAAAACAAGCGGTATGTTGAGTTGACTTTGTACAACATTCAGCCTTTGCAACACATCGGTTAGCTTTGTTGCCCAAATAAGGTACAACAAAAATTTGTCAGCAGCAGCGCTGCTGTAGGATGACGGCTTGGGCAATTGCCGGTCGTTGCAGTTTGCTTTTGATGTACCGGCATCGTCAGTGTTAGCGTCTATTCAAATGTCTTCTTGAAAACTGCTGTAGTAGAATTTTACCATGTATACTTTAGTTCATCCATGCGGTCATCTTTAAGTATACATTTTCTGGTGTTGTTTCTTGCAACCAAATCAAACAGATAATCATTGTTTTTTTTGGATTAACAGATCGTTGTCAAATGTTTGTCGCTATGATTACATCTTTCCAACGCTTTTCATAATACTTTACTTTGTTTTGTGT